CTTATTTTCTATGGACTACTTTTATTTTCTATGGGTACTTTGTTTTTTTCTGTGTGTACTTCGCGAAGTTTTTTGGTGGCTGGCGAAGCGACACTCATTTTGCTTTCATGTGGATGCTCCCTATTTTTTATTATGGGCGGTATATTTCTGTTTACCATTCTAGGCAACTAAATTTATTTTGAACCTATTAAAACATAATAAACTTTACACTTTAAGAAAATTTTGTTTGTTTTGCATGCAATGTTCCACACATTTATTAATTAGGAGTACTAAATAGTGATTATTACATCCTGGCATAGATTATGTTAATGTAGACACAGGACCATACTATTTTCGGGGGTGCTAGGACATATTGTTCAGACTTCCGTCAACATTTCCGTAGCGATGTATGGTAAATCACTTCCTCGCTGAATGTAAATTACTCCTTTGTATTAAAAAAAAGCCCGTAATCTAAAGCGAGGGTTCATTGCCGATGTTGGGAAAAAATTGCATTGCGGTTTGCTGCCCTCCTACCAACCGCGAACGTTCATCACATGCAGTTTACGTAGGAAATATGGACAATATGCAAGGAGGTTAAATACAAGTATTGTATTCAACCTCCTTGGTTTCAGTAAATAACCTGACATCTAAAATTGTTCATTTATGAAGTGCAAAAGCGTGAAACATAGGCCATAAGCCATGGAGGTCGTTGACCTTTGTTGGGACGCGCCCCTCCCCACAAAAGTGCCAATTCATGTCACTACAGCACACATGTAGCTGACCACACGGTTAGACGGTCAACCCAGAGTGTAATTTGAGTTTCTGTGAATATTTCAACAATTTTAGATGTCAGGTTATGTACTGAAACGGCATATTGTCCATATTTCCTGCGTAAACTGCAATTGTGATGGTTCGCGGTTGGTAGGAGGGCAGCAAACCGCAATGCATTTTTTTCCCAACATTGGCAATGAACCCTCGCTTTAGATTACGGGCTTTTTTGAATAGAAAGGAGTAATTTACATCCAGCGAGGAAGTGATTTACCATATATCGCTACGGAAATGTTGACGGAAGTCTGAACAATATGTCCTAGCACCCCCGAAAATAGTATGGTCCTGTGTCTACATTAACATAATCTATGCCAGGATGTAATAATCACTATTTAATACTCCTAATTAATAAACGTGTGGAACATTGCATGCAAAACAAACTAACTTTTCTTAAAGTGTAAAGTATATTATGTTTTAATAGGTTCAAAATAAATTTAGTTGCCTAGAATGGTAAACAGAAATATACCGCCCATAATAAAAATGGGAGCATCCACATGAAAGCAAAATGAATGTCGCTTCGCCAGCCACTAAAAAACTTCGCGAAGTACACACAGAAAAAAACAAGTACCCATAGAAAATAAAAGTGTCCATAGAAAATAGAAGTACCCATAGAAAATAAAAGTGACCCATAGAAAATAAAAGTACCCATAGAAAATAAAAGTACCCATAGAAAATAAAAGTGCCCATAGAAAATAAAAGTGACCCATAGAAAATAAAAGTGACCCATAGAAAATAAAAGTACCCATAGAAAATACAAAGTACCCATAGAAAATACAAAGTACCCATAGAAAATAAAAGTGGAATAAAAAATACTAAGTGTACCTATGGGCCTTGCTAAGATTAGTATTGTAGAATTGTTGTTTAAAAGTTGTTACCATACATTGTACTTGAAACAATGGTTGAGGAATCGAAATAATAATTAAAAAAAAAGTTCTTACCGCAAGCTCCAATATCCTGGACGTTTGGCACGTATAATGGATTTGGATTCAAGGTATTCAGAACACCATTAATATTGCTCAACGGGTTGCTCAAGACATCATTGATGTTGTTTGAAGCTGCTGATGGTAGATCCTGCGAGGGCAGCTCTGGTTGAGTATCTGCTAAAGCTGCGTTGCATTCTAGGTTATTCTGGAACATGTGTTCTTCTTGCTGATATGTATCAGCTGATGTCAGGGTGCAGGGAATATCACCACTAGGCATACTTGACATGAAGGCGGGTCCAGGGCTGGCGTTAGAAGGCTCTATGGGTGGCTCTTGTGATTGCGTGCACACTGGATCGGGATTGGCGTCGTTTTCAGGGTACAACGGATAAGGGGTTGTAGTGTTGTGTGTGCACATTGGATTTGAATACATGGCTTGTGTGCGACTGTCGGACACTGTTTCTATTTTTTGATAGGGTTCACTTGGCTTGAAAGCGGATCCAGGGCTGGCGTTAGAATCCTCCGCGGTGCTTTGCAGGTACATTGGATTGGGGTTAACTTTGTTTTCAGCGTGTATTGGATAAGGGTTCAAACTTTTACGTGTGTACATCGGATTTGGATCCATGGCTTGTTTGCGCATGTTACCATCGATTCCATTGAAAGTATCAGTATAATTCTGGACGGAGCCACACCCTGCCAAGTCGATGTCGTTATCATTGTGGCTGCTGGACGCTGTGTTTGATCCCTGAAACGGTTTACTTTTCGTCTCTTCTACATTTTTCTTTATACAGGTATCATATGTCTTGCATGTATATGCAATGGCGTAGGTATCGAAATCTCCAGGGCTGATATGAACTGTCTCTCTGTTCTCAAAGGCAGCATCGCTTTGGATAGATAGATGTTCATCGTCATCGTGTTCATTTTCCTCACATGTACCAGAGATGTAATTATTAACACCTTCGTCAGTTTGCCTGACGGTAGGTGGAACAGTTCGGGTACCTGGTTTAGTTGTGCTGTCGCTAAAGGAGTCGTTTCTAACGACATTTGGTACGACGTCGGAGGTCAGGTCTTCGGCCATGGCTCTTGAGACTTCTTCAAGACACGCTAGCATAACATATAAGACGAAGACACCGTGACCCTGCGCACCTCATTCTAAAGAGGCATTATGTAAACAGAAAATATTCTCAAGGACAAAATGGAACGTTGCAAAAACCTCTGACGTTAGTTGGCAGACAGAATCATCCAATTTCTATGTAGATGAAGCAGCCCACGAGGCGTCTTGACATACCAGACAATGCATATCAAACTAGTTGAAGTACGTGACTTGTCATTTGGGAATGTTCTGACATGTTGTTTTACTTGAATATGTTTACGGTTTTCTCACATACCGATTTGTTACCTGTCTCTTGACTAACTTGAGGTTAATTATTTCTTAGGCCATGTTGATTTGATTATATGGATGGCATCCTCTGGTAACCCCAAAACTGATGCAAGCGTGCGAATAAAAAAAGTTGTTTTCATGATGAAATCTACGTGGTCAGGAAGGTTGAATACTCGAATAATCGAGTATGGTATACCGAATAATTCACTTCTATACATTTTCGTCTTTTTCGTTCGGCATTAGTATCGTTTTCCAATATCTTTTGTAACTTATGGTATATATATATATATATATATATATATATATATATATATATATATATATATATATATAT